AGATGGTTTTTGCCTTTTTCTATCACTTTTTTTTTTAATTTATATATCGAACCATCGTCCATTTTCGTCTCATAAAAATGTAACACCTCTTCAGCAACGTGTAAACAACAAACAACATTATTTGGGCCAAATATTTTGTCACCTCTGGGAATTGCGTCTCTCCGTTGTTTCAAAACTGCCGGAGCCTAATGGAAACTTTGTTTATTAGTCAATTTTGTATATTTGCTGCTTCAAATCACTTTGTAGGATATACATTTTGTATTGTATAGGTACGTCTAGATATTTGCGTAAAAATTAATTTTCTTAGGTATAACCGGTTTTACACCCCGACACAAAGCAAATTATATCCAAATATGCTGTTTTACCATTTATCTTCATATATTCTCGTTCACTAACCACTTAATATTTAAATATTGAAGTTTGTCAGTTGATTTGCGTACATAAATAAAAAATTGTACTTAATAACTCTAAACTGAAGAACACAGATTACAACAGTAGTAAATACGTTTAGTAATGGGGATTTGTCTTGCTCATTTATATAAATAGAAAAAGGTTCTGCTTACTGTTCAAGTCGCTCTCAAGCTGAAGAGAGTCGCCGAAAAACTTGGTGAATTCCGTGGCATTTTTTTCATTGCTTTCGAGCGTGCTTAATCACTGCATATTTTATTGGTTTTGTTTGTAAATAATGTTAAGTTTACAACGCTATAGCTATCTTGGAAACACTATGTAAGTTGGTGACATTACCAAACTAGAAATCTGAACTTCGTTTTCTCCCTACAACAACCAGTTTGGTCAAAATCTCGCCACACAAGGTATATGAGATAAGTACTAACGTTTCTAAAGCGAATTTTGATTCCGAAATTAAAAATTTGGTTTTTAAAAAACAATTTTATTCACAAGCGGGCTAAGGCACATCTGCCTTAAAATAGGATTTAACATATATTTATATTATTTCTTTTGCTGATACTGCATGTGAACTAAAAAGTGCGAATCTTGCAAACGACGTGGGAAACGCATTATATTACAGCTCTCATGGGAATATAACTCATCCCGCGCTAAATGAAAGCGCAACCTTAAGGTGTGGTTTCACTTAAAAATGAATATTATTATCAGCTTTATTAGTGTCTTCAATAATAGCTAGTTTCCTAATTTTTTTTACAATACACATAGCAATAATTAATGGAGACATTAAAATAGTCCATAGGCTTGTTCTATTAACGTAGACGTCCGAAGATATGGCTTGAAGATCTTCCATCTGATTCTTCAGTTTCACCTGGATATCGTCCGTAGCCTTGAGGTTAACGTCGTCGATTTTATTTGGACTTTGCATTCTAAGGGTAATTCTAGCAGGTAGGAACCCGAAAGTGGAATATGGTCGTCTAGATCTTGACATGTTGATTTGGTAATCTCGTTAATTGGTACCGTGACAATCCATTTACCGCCGATAATTTTTGTCGATTGGATTTCATGCAGTTGAACTTCAAATGGGCGACAGGTTGTAATATTAGTCACGTGTTTAAGTAGCTGAATAGCACACGGTGAGTGATCTTCAATTGCACAATTGCACAGGAATTGATTGGGCTGCATTTCGAAGCATTTTTCTTCTTCTAATGCATATTTTGTTTCACTCAGTGTCAAAAAGGGTTTATAGGGTATATTGATTAAGAAAGATCAATTATTATTAGGAACTGGCAATGGAAACAGATTGTAATGTTGATATGTCTCTGTCTCAACCAATGGAAGTTTCAAAATAAATGTTACTTGGAATCTTTAATAAAGCATTTAATTTCGATGATTTTTTCAATATTTAAGATATTTCGAGAATCACCACTTATTGGCAATTTATCCGAATTTAAACGGCTATCGCATTATGAAGGACATTAATTTTTGAAAATGTTGTCGCTACCTCGATTTTATCCAAAATAATATAAATTGATTGATAAAGAAGGGTTATTTGATTAATAAACCTCAATATTCGATGATATTCTTTAAATTCTGTGTTTTCTAGTTTTACCCGAGACCTTAAAAGACTTTGAACCACTTCATTGCTTAATTCCGATCCATTGTCTGAAATTATGCATTTGGGTACGCCAAGAAATGAGAAGAATGTGACAAGATGTTCACAAAATTATATTGCGTTACCTAAGTAAGGAAGTGCTTGTCCAAATTTTGAGAATTTATACATAAATGTCAGGAATTTTTTATTTCCTGCAAGAAACGTGTCGATGTGTACCATTTCAAATGGTCGACTGGGTGTTTCAGTGAGAACTAAAGGTCGATCGGGTGGTTTCCTATTATAAGGGGTGTTTTTTTTCGATGTATAGAAGTTTAAGTTGCAATAAAACAACGATAGATTATTCGATTGACATGAATTTTATTTTTCCGAAAGATAATCTTGTGGCATTACATTTTAAATATGATTTCTGGCATATGACCGCCACGGCTGGCGCGGATGTAGTCTAATCTGAACGTCCAATTTTCGATGACTTTTTCCATTGCTATTGCCTTGTTATTGCCGTATATCGGCAATAACAAGGCGAATGTTGTCTTCCAAATGGTCAAGCGTTTGTGGCTTATCCGCATAGACCAATGACTTTACATAGCCCCAAAGAAAGTAGTCTAGCGGTGTTAAATCACAAGATCTTGGAGGCCAATTCACAGGTTCAAAACGTGAAATTAGGCGGTCACCAAACGTGTCTTTCAATAAATCGATTGTGGCACGAGCTGTGTGACATGTTGGGCCGTTTTGTTGAAACCACATCTCCTGGACATCATGGTTATTCAATTCAGGAATGAAAGAGTTAGTAATCATAGCTCTATACCGATCACCATTGACTGTAACGTTCTGGCCATCATCGTTTTTGAAGAAGTACGGACCAATGATTCCACCAGCCCATAAAGCGCACCAAACAGTCAGTTTTTCTGGATCTAACGGTGTTTCGACATAATACTTGAGGATTAGCTTCGCTCCAAATGCGGCAGTTTTGTTTGTTGACGTAGCCATTCAAGCAGAAGTGCGCTTCATCGCTAAACAAAATTCGCTTATGAAAATCGGGAACAACGGCAATTTCGTTTTAGGCCCAATCGACGAATCTACGCCGTACTTGATGATCGTTTGGCTTCCATTCTTGTACGAAATGGATTTTGTAAGCACGTAAACCCAGATCCTTAAGCAAAATCTTCCATAAAGTGGACAGACACAGATCCAATTCCTGTGCTCGATGGCGGATGGACTCGGGTCTTCCTCAATGCTACGCTCTACAGCAGCAATAGCTTCTTCTGTACGCACCGTACGGCGTCTCTGGGGATGCGAGTAATCAATAAGAGTAAACGTGGTGCGAAAACGTTCCATGGTTAATCGAATTCCGCATAAAACTATTATTTTCGAAATAAAATTGCACTATTTGCAAGCGTTGTTCAGGCGTGAGTCTATTCATGATGAATTGCCAAACCAAACTGAGAATAAATCACTTGACATCTGTTAAATCGGTAGCCATCTTGAACAGTAACGCCAGCTTAAAGTTCTATACATCGAAAAAAAGCACCCATTATTTGGATCGCTGACAAATTGTGCAATTGTTGATGTAATTAGTTACATCGGTTTTTAGGGATTTCCAATAGTAATTGAATTTTAAAAATTTTAGAGTTTGATCTATACCACGGTGGTTTGTTTTCCCTTCATGTTTGTATTTAATTAATATAATTCTCTAGTCTTCTTTAACATTGTGAACTAATTTCGTACATTCGATTAGTTGGTAATTTCGAAAATGATTAGTCATTGCTCGGTGAAAGTACTGTCTTAATTCCTTAGCAAAGAAATAAATATATGATTTTGACTCGTTAAGGTATTGTTTCAAAAATCTAATAATTATTTCTACGTTTAAAGGCAAAGTTGCGCGAACAATTTTATTTCCGTCGAATATTTCTTGGGTCACTTTTACGTAGGCATCATAAGGTGATTTTTTAATTAATTCAACGTAATGCGCATTCCAATAACAGGAATCATTTCCTTGATCATTTGATCCATCAGATTATGAACAAAATGAATTTTCATTGGCTAAAAAAATAAATAAAGAAAAATATTATAGATACCGTTCCCGAAATTGTATTAAAATTGATGTTTTTATTTAATTATTTTACTTTAATCAAATTAATATCTCTGAATGTCTCAAAATAAAACTCTTGGGTGTAGGTATGTATGTATGTCATGATGATGATCAATCTCGAAAGGATCCAAGCACTGTCCATGTTATTTGCAAAATGTGAAAAATCATTTTATTTTATTATCCGCCTTTGCTTACAAGAATAAAACTCTAATCCCCACTTTTGTACTAGCGGCTGTATTAAAAATATTAATAGATATTATTGAATTAGCAAATATTTTCAAAATAATGCTTTGGAATTATATTAAATACTAACTTTCTTGGTTTAAAAATAATTATTGTTATGCCCTATTCCTAAGTTAAACAGCAAATACTCTTAGGATTACATCAATATAATTTCCTTTTTTTTTTTTAAAAAATCTATTATTTTATTAATTTCTAAACATTTCTAAATCTAAAATAATGGTAGTTTCAAAGTCGGATCCGTTAGAACTATACTTGATTTAAACTTTCCAAAAATGGGACTACTATTGAGTATACGATACTGTTTTTTTTGTTTATGAATGCAATATCTGAGAACGTTAATTTCCAAAAGTTTTAACCAGCATTACCGTATGTTGAAACCTACGAATAACAAAAGTTTAGACGAATTGAAAGAAATTTTCTCAATTTCGCTTTTACTATTCAAATAACTAGAGATTTTTCCGAAACTTGCCACGAATCAAGCTAACGGGGAAATTAATATCCTCGGTTATTTTTTAAAAAATTATAAAATTAATGTTTATAAATTAAAAGAAAATGAAAACAAACTAAAGAAAACATAAAAAGCATACAAAATAAGCTACTTTATTTCTCACATTACATTGATTTATACGCTTATACGTTCAATAGAGGGTGTAGAATTTTTTGTGACAATTCACAATCTTAACTGTGACTAAAATAAATTTTTATGTTTCCAAAACAAATGGCTTTGGTTTAGTTTTGCGTTATTATAAAAATGCAAGAACAATGTCGATTTAAACAAGACTCAATTCTACTAGTTCTTCGTTTTCATTGATAGTTTGCGGAACTTCACAATTACGAAAATAATTGTGAAGTGTGCACTGTGGTTTTCTGATTCTTGGAACTGAACTCGACGCCTCCGAGTTAATAAACGATAGTAGAAGTTCTTCTTCATCTGCTTGATCCGCTCTAACTAACCGTTCCCTTGCTGTTGAAAAGTCTTCTTCTGACGCTGGTCGGTTTTGGTTCTGTAATTTATCTAAAAAATCAACAGCAACTGGTTTTACTTTTCCTCAGACTTTTATTATTAACTTGTCTTGAGGATCGCTAAGAATTCTATATAAAAATATATAAAGAATAGTATAACAATCTATCAACAAAGTCGGGTCATATTGCTGACAACCGACCACTTCAAAGGGACGTAATTTATATTGACTTGTCGAAAGCATTCGACAAACCTTAACAGGCCTCTTATGTCGAAGACAACATATTCATGTCAATGGTTTCAAATTTGTAAAATTTAATGTTATGTCTAGTGTCCCAGAAGGTTCTAACTTGCAACCCTTGTTCACGGTATAGCGGAAGTCATTTGTGTTCACTTCTTGAACTTTATGGTAGTATAAAAAACATTAATGATTGAGCGATCATGTTGAAGCTGTTCAGAGGTGGTTTCTAATGCTATTAGGCATTAAGTTTTACAGAGGTATAGGTTATTGTTACAATTTAATTGACTGCTCAGATTTAGTCTCGAGAGACAATTCTAGGATATTGGCCTATTTTAAGTAAACACTTCCAGACCAATTATTATGTGTATATCCACTAGAAATAGGCTGGTGCTTGCGGCATTCCATAACCAGCACGGCATCAGGAAAAACGGAGTTAAGGTATGGAGAGAGTTCTTGAAAAAAGTTCTGTAATTTCGTAATAGAACAAAGTACTGAAGGCAGTAAATTTAAATTTACTTGTATAGAGTGAATCAACGATACAGGAACGTTCATTATCTTATTGGTTTCAAAAGTTTTAAGCAAACGGTGAATACAAAAGTTGAAAAAATTGTTAGAATGCACAAGTATATAAGCGTGACGAAAATGTAGTCTGCACATGAGGCAACATTTGCGTACAGGCACATTATTTTCCTTAGAGTTTTGACTGCAAACCCAACAAGTTTTCCAGTAAGTGGTAGGTCGTAGGGTAGTAGTTGGGTATTTTTATCGCACATGAAAAAGGCCCGGAGATAACCAGCAAACTCGAAAAATTAAAACAACAATGCCACAGACTGTGGCAATATTGATAATGTGTCTTTTATAAAAATAAATCAAATTTAGATGATTTGAAATTTAGAATTAGATACGCCAAATTTAAGAAAATAACCTGGGTTGGAAGCGTTTTTAACCCGATTTGCTTATTGTCAACAAGTTAATGGTGGACATTTTCTACACCTAATGAAATTATTTATTTATTATATATATCAATTTTACTTGTTCCGACTTTTTCTGGATATTTTGATTTTTCTATACTCACAGAAATGGAATTGTAACAATTTAAAAAGTTTGCTTTACTCGTACTAGCTACTTGAATGTTCATGTCACTTCTTCCTGAAAAGTAAGATATAGGGATAGGGTATTATAATTATGGTGCTCATGTGCGAGCATTTTTGTTGATGTCCAAGATCTTATTTTCAATGAATTTGTCCATTGCATATAATAATAATAATAATAATAATAATAATAAGTACAAACCACCTCTAGTTATAGAAAATCAGGCTGTCAAGATCTATTGGGATAGACCCATTACGATAGACGTAACAGTAAAATACAACAGGCCAGATATTACAGTTATTAAAAAACAATCTGAGGAAGCGCTGCTAATTGACATAGCGGTCCAAAACAGCTCCAACAGAAAAAAAGATTAATTGAAAAACTGTACAAATATGCTATATCATTCCGGTTGTTTTATCACGTATGGGATTGATTCCAAAAAAACTTCTTCGAGCAGATTGATATTCCCGAGTCAACCTATCGAATGATGGAAAAGTCTATAGACCTGGGTGTGACAAACATCGTAAGATCATTTCTAGAATAGAGACACGCGTGAAAGTCTTGCCGTTAAGGCCGACTTCCAATTAAACACCCGGTGTAAGAGCCGGCGCGTAAAAAAAGAAAAAAGAAAATAATGGGTTTTATTACAAAACAGTTGACACCAATTATAAGACAATATGTAACAAAACAACCACAATAGAGATTTAGAAAACAAAATATTGGCTGAAACGCAAACATATACAAGCAACGAGAAGAAAAAAAAGAGAAAAAGAAAAATACAATAACGCCATAATACAAATATAAATTAGGCAGTTAGATGAATGTTAAGCAAGACTTCTGTAATGTTTCTGGCATATCAATATTAGTCTAGGTATACTTACACCAGAAATATAGTGCTTTTACAACCGACCCCGTGATTAACTTTGCCTACTGTTTATTATTTACCTTCGTTTTCAATCTTTTTCGGCAAGCAATTCTTGAAACATGTACATAAAAAAATTAATACAAAGTAACAATTTATTACGTGCTATATATGTATATGTGTATCACTATTAATATACCAAATATTAAATGTAATAATAATAAAGCATCAGTCACTTAAAAAATCGTCACTAGCGCTACTGTCGTCACCTAGTTCAATGATCAACTACGCCACTAATCCTTCTAGATAAATATTTTCCTCTTTTATTACTAGTTTTTCACAGTTAGACGAGCTTTGTACGGATATTCTAGCTACCTCTTGCCGAATTACGTTTATGGTACTATCACTAAATTTTGGTGCAGTGTTATTTTCTCTTATATACGCTTTCAATCGGTTTAAATATACAATGATACGGGGATAATCTCAAGATGTCATGTCCGTTTTTGTAGTCTTTATTAAAATGTTTTATTTTTAATAATTCCGAAAGTTGTTTTTTGCTGTAGCTCACTTCAAAATATAAATCACTTTCTTCTTTAGTTGAAGAGGTATTTGGAATTTTTCTAATTTTTTTAATTTAAATAAGTACGCAACGAATCTTTGGCACAACTAATGTTTAAGTCTGTCAGTACTTTTCTATGCAGTTCTTTGAGGGTTAAAACACTATTCGCTTACTAAGCGTCGTAGTTTATACTCTCACTTTCCTCTTGACTATCCTATTTGCAACAATTTTTCTTATTTTAAAATTGTAAACATTCAAAACAATTTGTTTAGCATCCGAAGACAAATGGATCCGTTTTTTTATTTGCTGAAGTAGTTCATCTTCTAAATTGTCATCTACTACGATCTCCACTTCGTCGTTAAAATCAGAGTGGTTTTCTATGTCTTCTTCTAACAAGGAATCATCTGCGTAATTCCACGATCTCCACATTTGAAAGTGTTAAAACTTTCACAAAATGTTTAATTGTAAGCTTCTAATAAATATTTATCTTTATTCTTATGACTTACCTTTACCTACCACGAATATAATCTACAGTTTTAAAAAATACTGTTGTTGTTTACAAATCGAAGAACTATGTAGAAGACATAAAAATACAAGAAGTTGTTAATCGAGAGGCACACAAGACAAAAATGATTATTCTCAAACTTACCTGTAAGATCAATAGAGTACAGGTACTTACCTTTTGAAATATCCAGTGAAAACAACCCCGTATGTACTTTCTGGAAGGATCACAGTCAAATACGTCCGTAATATATACGAACATATTGCAATTTAGATTGTACTTATTCGAAAATACCCCGCAACATCAACGCTTAATCAAATTTAAGACGGCACATTTACTTTTCAATTAAAATTTTCAAGTTTCTACAAATATTCGTTACGATTCATCTCAGGCAAGACCTACTTAATGCAGAATAAACATCTGTTGATATGGGTTTTACCACGTGACAGCAGTAAATGCACTATATTTTTGGTCGTATTATAAACGATCTTTAAAAATGGCGCCGTACTGACAAACCGAATTATAATCCGAGCATAATCGATACAGGGTAGATATACGAAATAAATGGGTGCGGGGAACTCTTAAGCTGAACGTCAGATTATGTCCTGCATTTGCTCTCGGAACCCGAAAATTAATCTGGGCAAGTTCATCGGGTCAACACGTCCATGCAATAATCTATATAAAAATATTAGACCAGCCTATGATCCAAGGCTTTAATATCAAACCTATCACCTAAGATGTCACGATCAACACCCCTCTCTGGGTAAACACCATCCACTCTGAAAGCAAGAAACTTTACAAAACGTCTTTGAACATACTCAAGAGAGTGAATATGAGTTACATAAATTGGTTCCCAGATTATGGGAGCATAGTCAAGTTTAGATCTAATCAGCGAATAATAAGGCGTCTTTTGCAGCGGCTGCGCCTGAAGATGATGAGCAGTTACGAAAAATAAAGTCATTTAATAGAATTGACTATAATATCAATGGGTTAAAAAAAGGAAAGCTAAGAAAGCTGTGAATCGAAAGTCACAAACAAATTCTCTAATAGGGCTACATCTGGGTAAAGTGGTATTGTTTAATTTTCAGAAAAATAAAGTTTGAAGATTTCTGTGTTATGACCTTGCACTTTGAGATTTTGAAGGTAAGATTATTTTGCTCACACCACTTATGAACATGAGAGAACTGGTGTTGAACCGTGATGGCATCTGCGTATGAACAAAAAATGATCAATAAATTTTTAAATCATCTGCAAATAGTAAAAAGTCACATTTCATTATTCATATTCATTAGACAGGTTGTTGATAAAGATCGAAAACAATAACGGTCTAAGATTAGAACCTTGAGGCATCCAGGATGTTCCGACAAACTGCGCCGAGTGGAATCCAGCAATTAATTTTTTTTAATCAACATTGAGTGGTCAATGCGGTCAAAAGCTCTAGCAACATCCAAATATACTACATCAACCCGAATTCCCTTGCCGAGACACTGCAATATAGTACGTTAGCTCTACTAAGTTGGAAGTAGTAGATTGTCCTGATATAAAGCCGTGTTGATTAGGCGATCAGAGATTTAATATGACGAGCCAGACTAGCACAAATCAGTTTTTCAAAAGTTGATAGGATCGTAATCTTAAAGGAGTGGAGTCACTTTTCAAAACAGAACACAGCCTAGCCAACTCCCAGTAATGGCTAATTTGATCCCAAAACACTGTCACATCCGGAGTAAGTTTATTCGGCATAGCACGCAATACTCGTAATAACTCTTCCTCCGCAAAGCTAACAATATGCATGGACGTACAAGTTCGTGGTAACCCGATATCACTTTTAGGATTATAAACACTACTAAAATCCTCTTCAAAAGAATCAATGACAGCCTGAGAAGTGTCAACTGGTTCATTATTAAATTGTAGCGAGAAGTTTTGCTATTTACGCAGGTCTAAAATATTTTAGGATCAGTAGCAACAGAAGTGTCCACATTCGCCAAATAATTATCATAAGCCAGTTTAGATTCATATTTTATCCTCCAAAATCCCTGATAATATTATTGACTGTACATACATGGTAATCGAGTTGAATTTGAAAAACAAACTGCTTAATTGATACATGTAGGGTATCTCGCTACTGTGGGATCGTCTTATATCTCCGCAGTTGTCATTATACAGGATAATTCGTGCTGACAGCACCAGACTTCTTATCTGCATATCTCTAATCAAGGGCTGCGTCAATTTCTGAGTATTTTCTCACCTGGATTTAATTCAGGTAGGTTTTCAGACTGATCGGCAGCCGAAGTCCTCGGCGTTTCGACAGACGCCGTCCTGTCAAAACAACTCCAATCTACCTCGTAAGAATCCAGTTCTGCATCAAACGAAACGACAGACACGAAATTTCTGCCCCACAGAATTTCGTTTGACAAGTAACTGGATTTTGCTTCGGCGGATGCCCCAGTACTCTCGACCGTTGCGGATAAAATGACCACTATTTCGAACTCTTCCCGGAGCATATCTACAGCGGACATTTTGAACAACGGTGAGTCCTGATCAATGACGTGATATGCTGTCATCGGCCACAACAGCACCAGGTTATTATCTCCGTCGTCTACTTTTAGCGATAATCCTAAAAATAAATTTCAGATTTTTTACATTTTAAGCTGCCCGCAACAAGCAAAAGTTTTCTGATATTTAGTATGGTTTTCGCCAACGCAGATCTATCGTGGGAAATCTTGTAAATTTTATGGAATTTGTTACAAATGGTATATCTGGAAGGCAGGCGTATACGGGAGGGGCCGACCACTTATTATTTTATTATTTTATTTATTATTTTGTGGCTTTTAATAAATTAATTAATAATAACCTAATTTTAATAAATTTTTAAAGCTTTTTCTTGAATTTTTAAGACGTCCATTTCACCCCTGGTATTACGCAATAAGCTAAAAATGTAAAAATAACCAGAATTTATAATTGTAATTACGAAAAAAAATTTTTTTGATTAGTTTTTGAGGTGGGCCTTCTTGTCCCAGGAGGACCGCCTTGCCCCACCCTCCCCTACTATATTCACAAACTTTAAAAATGCTTCTGGTCGGGATCGGCATAGGACATATAACACAATATATATAAGGACCATAGTAAAAAAAATAAAACATATATTTTACTTGACTAAATGCAATGCAGCACGTCTCAGTTAAAAATAATAATTTTATGACATGTCAATTACCTGCATTGTATTACTTAAACAGTATTTAAAGACTACAGAAAAGGTCTTCTATAAAGTAAGGTTAAAAATCTCGTAATAACTTTTTTATGGTGCATTAAGATTTGAAACGAATGGGATAATTTACATATAAGGTTCTGTTAAATATATGAAATTCGAAGTCGTTTCGATTTTTACAAAAAAGAATATCAATGGTTCACAAATATATATGGCGTATACAGTGAAAATGCCTTCAGCCTTGAACGTCCCACTACAACTCTCTCCAAATTACAAGACATGAAAAATAAAATTGGGTCAAAAATACTATCTTGTGCTAGGCCCAGACTATTTTCCATATTATCCCAAAGATAACTACTACCATTTCAGGTCATTTTTACTTGTTTCCTTGCCAATACGTGTGATTCAAACAATTTTAGTACATTACCTCTTACAACGTATAAATTCCATTTTTTGAGCAATACTTCCCTATCTATACAGTCATTTGCTTTAGTAGCTAAAACTATTTAATGTTAATCTAATCAACATTAGATCTACTATTATATATAAATTATTATGTTATAAATATATAAATTAAATATATAAATACCACAAAACAAAGTAATAAGCATATGGGATGACATGAAAAGATATAGAAACATACAGACTGAAAATGATTGTAAGTTATTGCAAGATATTAATAATTTAACAAAGTGGCCAAAGGATAAACTTCTGGATTTTTCCTGCGTCGGTTTTTGCTGAGTCGAAATAGCTGACGTTTCGCCAATCATCATGTTGACTTGTTCAGAGCTTGACTGAAACTGTCAAGTCAAGCTCTGAAGAAGCCAACAGGATGATTGGCGAAACGTCAGCAATTTCGACTCAGCAAAAACCGACGCAGGAGAAATCCAGAAGGTTTGTAAAAAGTATCTTTTGAAAATTCTTTATTATAGTCTATAGTCCAAGACACATTGAGAAAATAGTGTGGGTAGTATATTATTTCAAATAGAAGAAATCGGATAGCTGTGCCAGAATCGGTTCAGCCCAAAAAATACCTGGGTGTCATGCACATAGATAATATCATTTTAAATATGTATAAATAAACATATTAAATGGATTACTCACACAAAGATTAGAATAATATGGTTTGAATGTGTTTAAGGGCAAGGATATTGAATTAGTTTAATGAAGAATTAATGACTGAAATGAGCAAGTATGCCTTACAATACTCCCCAATTTGAACATTTTATTTTATGTTCGATTTCTTCCTGTTAACAAGAAATTCAAACAAGGGCAATTGCTCCATTTTCTGCTGCATCACTTTCTGATGGGGTAACTTTTTTGTTATATTGTAAGCAGTAGCAGCTAGATTTTAAGTTAATTTTATGGTAATTGCAATTCTTGTTGTTGTACTAATCAATAAGTTAGTTTTATGACATTCACAAATACATTCTGATATCTTAGTTACCAATAATACTGTTAATTTTATAAAACAAAAACTTTGTTAGGGTTCGTTAATAGTGAAAACAAACTGAACTAAAAATTTATATCAAAATAAGTCAGATTTAACAAATATCCAAAAAACCTACAAACAAAAGTTGTTTGTTATTTATTATTTTCATATATATAAGATTTTCGTGTTTTCGTGGACACGTAACAACTTAATTATTTTATATAGAACAACACCCTGTATATCGAATAATTTTTGAGTAACTTTTAATATTCTGATATAATAATTATTAAGTAATTATTCCTATCTATTTCTCTTACTTCGGATTTTTTTTTACAAAGAAGATCACTTGATTAAGGCTAATATCTTATTAGGTAAATGAGCTAACTATTTAAAGATTTTTCTGCGGTTAGATAATACATTTGTTTGAATGGTCGTACAGAGAGCGTCCCACAAATTTAATATGAGTAAAATGTTTTTTTATTGGAAGCTTACATATTGAATGTTACAATATCGGTATTTTTAAAATCTTCACAAGGGTCCTTATATTCATCAGCAACTGATTCTTAGATTTGAGTGACTATTGATTGTTTCTCGTTTTAAAAATCCAAGTAAAAAAGATTTACTCTTGTTGTTTCGTGCTTTATTGAAATTTGCTTCCGATGCCAAATAGTTTCCAAGACGACTTAATTATGTAAGTGCGCAATAGGCTAGGCTAGAGAAATCTTTTATAAGTGAAGTTTTAAAAGGAAGAAAAAAATTATTCACTCAAATCTAAGAAACGGTTAGTGAATTATTTCACTTCTTGACGGTAATGTGAAAAATGTTTTCCCAAATGAAAATTTTTCGGCACATCCTGTAAAGTTACTTAGATCTTTGCGCAAAATCAGACAACGAATTAATCCACATGGTAATACATTTTCCAGTTTGAGTTTCGAATTTAATTGCCAACGTTGTAGGAGCCTAAATTTTTCAAAATTTGAAAAAACAAATTCTAATAGGACAGTCAACGTGAATCGCCCTTTATAATATAATAATTTTACTATACCGACTAACATTGTTATCCGCTATCCACACACATGCCTATGATATAATAGCAGATTAAGAGGTACGTCAGACAACTAGGGGAACTAGTCATAAATAGGTAAAATTTTAATTTTTTTAATGAAAAGCATATTATAAAATACTTTGAAAATATTGTCGAATATCCGATACAGGGATGGCATATTTAATGAACTTCTATTACTACTCCATAAGTACTTATTTATCATTTATATGCTTTTGGAAATGAACAACTGTTGACCTAAAACAACCTTAATATTCCTCCTACAAAAAACGCAATTTCTAACATCTTAAAAATAGGCACTTCTTCCAAAAAACAAACAACACCGAACATCAGTAACAAATAAAAATGCACTACGTCAAACACTTTTTTAATCACAACGTAAATTTATAGAAAATCTCATTATTAACAACTGTGATATCATACCGACTGCAGCGGAACACGCTGTATAAAATTTAATGGGTTGTTACCAGTTCTGATTAGTTTTTGGGTGTTTGTTCCTACCTTTCACTTACCAGTTTGATAGTTTTCAAGGACGTCATCTTCGGAGGTCCTTTCCGATTTTATTAATATACCTGTTAGAGTGACCCCCACCAGGTTGCTTCTTCTAATATCTCCCACTCTAAACATTAAACACAGTTTGTCATCGCGTCGACTAACGACGGCGTTTCTGGAGAATTGTATGGTGTACGTGGCCATCTTGGATCTGACCATTTTGGCAAAAACTATGCCGACCGTGAATGAATCGATCATCATACCTGTCAATGATGGTATTAATAAAACTTCATTCGCCATTTTGGTTTCAGTTGTTTTGAGGTTTCCTTAAAGAACTAAACAATATTTTAAACGCTTTTCATAATAGTTTTGCCGAACTGCGATAGTTTGTTTCATTAAACACTATTGCGTGCCACTTTGTAGCGAAAAGTTCTAAGGCTAGGAGAAGACGAAGATCCAATTAACCAAGGGGAAGGAAACATCACCTTCTTATGTAATCCACGTCTAAAAGGGTTTTGAGAATACAAAAGAAATGATTTGGGAGCTTGTGTCAAAATTAGAGAAGGAAGGAAGGAATCATGAAAGGAAGCTTCTAGATTTGAATCAACAAACAACAACTATCTTGGACGAACCTTTCCAATACCGAACAATAAATAATGAGCAAAAGACTTTGCCCTTGTCCCTAGAAAAACATCAATGTTAGGTATTATAAGCTTCATAGAGACGTACTAACTGGACTATCGGAGACAAATGATGCATGGAAAATTAGGACTGTTTTGGAGAAGATAAGTAAAAGTATTACAAATACTTCCAAAAAGGAATAAGTAGTCATAGAGAACATCAAGATCCTCAAAATCGAAAAAGGGAATCGCCACAGGATGTACAGGTATACTGCTACACTAATTTTAATTGCAAAATCCATTAAACAAAAATATACATGATGGTCTTGAATCTAAGAAAGTTGGAATAGTTTTACAAGAGAAGGTGAATCATACTACGAGAACCAAAAGAAACCCTTGGAACATACAGGAAAGTTAATAAGGGAATTTAAATTAAACCTGATTTTTATTTCCTTTTTCGCAGCTAAAAGCCATTTTTTCTCATTAAATTAACCAAATTATGTAAACAAGTTAATCAAATAGATCAAATATATAATTAAATATAAAATTTAAATAAAGCGATGATGATAATTTCTGTATTAAAAATTGACCAAGCTGCTGTATAAGTCCGCAACCTCACAGATATATCTTTCCGAATAGGACTGGAGTTAGTTAAGCTTTCAATTAAGGCTCCCTAAAGTAAATATCGCGATAATCAATCAATAAAAATAATAATTAGATTAATTAGAATAAAGTAATTAATTTAATTTGGTTGTTTATTTCTTTTTGGTTCAACTCAGAACCATTAGATGAAAAGACGCTTCAAAAAAGTTGGATTTTTTACAAAAAAATTCCACATTATTTATTACTTTTATTATTATTTTTCTTATTTGTTTATTATTATTTTTTTTCATTTAGTATTGTCACTCATTCTTGAATTAAAAATTTCGCCTAGTTACTAACTGGTTCACTAATCAAATAACTAATTATATCAACTAACTATTAACTAACAAAATGTTTTGTTTGACAGAAATAATGCATGCACAATCTTCGAGATTTCGATTGCCAAATTTAGTTTTTCTTAATTAATTTAATTGTTGTTAAACTCATTGATTTCCTACTGGTTAGTTTAGGTTAGTCTTCAAGAAATGATTTTGTTATTTATTTGGTTTTCATTCATCTATTTGATGCTTGTTAAACTCTCTTGATTTATTTCTGTTTAGTTAGTTTAGGCTAGTCTTCAACAGTTGATTCGTTTTTGTTAGTTGACTAAATCCAATCATCAATTTAAGAAATTTGGTGCCTTTTGAATGTATTGTAAAAAAGTAATAATGATCATTACCATTAAAAAAATGAAAGAAACATTTTGTCTGACAGAAATAGTTCAAGCACTAAACGCTCTTGAATTCCTGCTGCTGGATAAAGATATTGAGTTGCGGTTTTCACTCGGTTGTTGGGCCCTTATCTGGCTGCACATAAAAAAATCAGATCTTTGCATTTATTCTTTTTTCAGAATTTTTTTTTCGCGATTAAGTCGGAAAACTGCACCTTGTGGCAAGCTAAGCAGTCACAATGGCGCCACTTATAGCACGGTGGATAGCCTAGCAAAAACCGTTGTTTACGACACAAAGTTTATTAAAATGCGTTAAGCCCTTTCGGAGTATCCTTTATCATTAGAAAATTGAAAATTTCTAGTTTTAAAATTGAAGATAACAATTACCTACGCCCGATTTCAGCAACTCTAAATTAATTTCTGGCATTGATCCATAGTTATATTTCCATAAGAAATAACAGAGCCGATGTAATCAAACAATATAGTATGTAATCTTTATATTCTTAAAATACTTTAAAAGTGTTTCCCTGTTCCTCAAGTTGGGTTATAAGGTCACGTGTTTTATTTCCGTCGGCAGATTATTTGGATAATTCCCTTCAAAAGTCAAAACTATATACTTTCTGACAAAGTATACATTGCCAAAAATACCATTTAAAATAGATTCGAACCATTAAGGTTACCTATGATGCACTGGAAGCAAAGTACGAAGATAGCTTCGGGACATTCTTCTGTAATGGCCCTAAGTCCGTAGCCGGTTGTATGTTGCGTTTCAAGTGAGTAAAGAAAACACGAGTGAAATCCATGGATGTTCAAAACGCAAGGCGTCCAGCCTAAAATAAATTCATACGAGTGATTATGCATTACCTAGTTCAACTATAGTCCAAGTCACACTGATATTACAGGGTGGGTAGCATAGGCAATTTCAAATGTGAGAAACCGACACAGCGTTGCCAAGAATCGTATAGCAATTCCAGCGGCGGTTCAGCCCTTGTGTCAATTAAATATAGAATATTTTTTTGTCAAAATCCTAGGACAAAAATATTAAAAAAGTTGCCTAATTAAAATAAAAGTAAGATGAGTGTATAAAATAACATGAACAAACAAAATGGTAAAAATAAACCAAGTTATTACCGAAACAAATCAAATGAAAAAACAAAATAATGCAAAATCACTGTGACTAAAAGGAAGTGTATAGATTAACATTAACAAACATACATACAATTAATAAAACAAAGACGAGAAATAGATTAAAATCAAACAAAAAAGATGAAAAAGTACAAAATTCAGTGTTGAAAATATAAAAAGATTAAAACGTCAATGACTATTATTCTTTTTTAAAATTTGACTTAAAACTATTTGCTGATGAACACAGTTTTAATTTATTTTGTAGTACGTTACATAAGTAACTACTTAAATAAATATTAGTAGCAGTAGTTTACTTATATTTTTAAAAGTAAAAGTAAATAATTTTAATATAAAAACTGAACCAACAGTTAAAATTCTAGGGGTCTTAACTGCACGATTGTTTGTAGAAAATATTATAAAGCAATGTTACTATTCGTTTCTGAATCACATAAACTGTCTCAATATCTCTAGCTCCACACCATAACTAATTATGCTGTGCACTGCGCTATAGTATACGATGTTTAGTTCATTTATGTCCAGAAAGTTCCTTAACTGCTTTATTAGAAACACACCATTATTGAGTTCTTTACAGAGGTTGTCGATATACTCTTCTTCTTCATTAGGTACTTCCGCCTGTTCAATGTAATTTTTATCACAAGATGTTCCATTTTTTCGTGGCCGTGCTATACTCTTCCGACCGGCAGGCGAATTATCTCTTGCTATCCTCATTATCCGTTGTTCAGACATTCTGTCTATATGTTGATTCCATTCTTGCTTTCTATTTCTTGTTCAGGTGTTAATGTTTCCAATTCAACATATGTGTCTTACATTTTCATTTGTTTATCTATCCCAGAGTGTTTTTCCTGTTATTTTTCTTAATGTTTTCATTTGAAGTGTAATTATTTATTCTTCCATATCGTGTCGTTTAGGCATCCTGCTATTCTGTTGGCTTTTGCAGTTTGTTCTCTCATTTCATTACCTGCTCTATAATTTGATTATCAAGTTCCAGCTTACATATAATTGGTTCTTTAGAGATTACTAGTGATTTAGTTGTAAATCATGTTCATTCTCAGCTACCAATAAAGTATCGTCGGCGTAACACAACACTTGTTTTTCTTTATTATCCATTTTATAGCCTTTTTTGTTTTTACTTCTCTAATTATTTCGTCTAATATAATATTAAATAATAAGGGACTTAGTGAGTCTCCTTGCCTAATACCTGTAGTTACATCTATGGGCTCAGTTAGCTCTGCTCTAGCTTCTATTTTATTTTTTTGTATATATTTTCGATTAGTTTTATTATATCAAATGGGATATTTCTGTTATAAAGTATATGTATCACGCCCTGTAGCTGCACGCCATCAAATGCTTTTTCTAGGTCTATGAAGCATAAGAACGCTGGCCTATTGTATTCAATTGATTTTTCTATAATTTGTCTAATAACCAATGCTGCGTCATTACAAGACCTCCCACTTCTGAAACCTTGTTGTTCTTCAGAGAGTTTTACAAGTGGAGTTATTTTGTTGGTAAAAATTTTTGTTGGAAATAATTTTTGTTTTCAGCTTCAAAGTCGTGCATAGGAGGTTAATTCCTCGATAGTTATTTGGATCAGTTTTCTCCCCTTTTCAAAAAGTGGTATCATTATGCTTATCCTCCGGTCTTTCGGTATTTGTGATCTTTGTATTAAATTGTTTATAAATATTGTTAGTTATCTAATTAGCTTGGGACCTCCGTACTTCAATAATTCATTCTGTATTCTATCTTCCACTTCTTCACTACTTATTTCTAGTACTTCATATTTTACTATATCCGGGATTTTTGCTGTTAAATTCTCCGTCGTATTGTACAATTATTTTAATGGTTTGTCCATGCTCTGTCCAAATTGTTGTAAATTTTGTATGCCCGGAAAATTTTCAAAATCCGACCTTTCAAGTGAATATCTCTCAAAATCAAGCACAAACCCGTTTGATCACCCATATGCGTTTGTAAGTTATTCAACATTAATTTATTAGCTTTGCAATATGTTGATCCTTCATTAAGACATTGTAAGTGTTTAAGTTTTAAATTTTCCGGATTAGCATTTGATATAACCGCTGTAGTGTCCACAATAAACAAACAACGTGGAACTTTTTTGAAAATCTGTCTAGTCGTTGTTAGATATTGTAAATATTAGCGGGCCCAAACCACTGCCTTGAGGGGTTTCCATATTTCAAATTTCATTTCAAATTTTCACATAAAACTCTTATCTGTCAAAAAAGATTGTGATTTAGACCACCTCTTATCTCTAGCCTATCCAATTTTATAGTACTTTAGCACTTTCTGTCGAATAGCTTCTGTGGAGACAGAATGTTATTGGCGTTTAAAAAACTTATTGTACGTTCATAGATTTTCTTTTAGAATATTTTAGCAATAATCCTTAAAAGCTCTGCAATTTTAGAGATTCTCACGTTCTCCTTTCTTAAAAAATGGCGTATTTTAGCACTTGAGGTAATATTGCCTCTTCAATTGAGTTATGAATTACGTTTGAGAGTATGACTGAAAGTTATATACTGCATTCATTTACCAACCCGAAAATGATGTTATCTGGCTGTAAATTATTTCAGATGAAAAAACATGGTTTGTAGAATAAGGGAGCCATAAGTATACTCACTAGATAATTCAGTACCAAAATGCTAATCTACTTTGTTTGCTATAATAATCAACAAAGACCGCTGGTTAAAAAACGTGGAGACAAGAAGAAACACTTGAAAAGGAAAACGGGATCGGGCAGAAAAACAGTTAGTGCAGATCAAGAAGATCAGGCGCTCCTTCGGATAGTCGAGGATGACCCGTTGCAAAGCTCGAATTTCCGGGCACAGTTTGTCCGAGAATTAAGGCATCACATCTTAAGTGTCGGACTGCGGCAAAGTGTCTAGACCAAGCAACCAGCGTTTCAACCCCTTGACAGGAGAAAAGATTTGACAGGACAACTATCTTGTCCACGCTGCAAACATCGTTACACCATAGCTCCAAAATACCAACATTGAAACCATGGCCAAGTAACGGTCCTGACATCAACCCGATCGAAAACATTTGGAAGATAATGGAGAGGAACTATGGCAAGGTATTGAGGAAGGATATAAAGAATTGTCGCCTGAAAGAACTTTACAACTCCTTTCATGACCATGAGCCGAAAACTTCAAGCTGCGATTGATGCACAAAATATTAAATTCTTTACGAGCATTTCTTCTTGTTCTGTTTTTGTTAAAATGTTGTCCCCCTGCTGATAAGGATCAACCATCTAAATTTGTTACAATGGTTTCTTTAAGTTGTTTATCTAAAAGTTAAAAATTATCTTTTTATTTTTAAAATAAATAAAATTTGTGTCTGTTTAGATTAGACATTTTGTAATGATAAAACTTGCGAGAACAACCAACGAGAAACAGTAAAATTAATATACATATACATATAATATACATCTAATAGCAATAGCTTTGAATAGTTGGGCAATAGTACCAAAGTACCAACCCCAACGTCCTTAGCATGCAATCTTACCAGGGCGAAGTAGCTAGACTTCTGGGTATCTATTTCGATTCCCATTTAACGTGGACTTATATTTTAAAGAAACTTTCTACCTATTCTTACATAATATGGACATTGAGAAATTTTCATAGCGAGTCATAAGGATAATGTCATTTAAAAACTCTTTCTGTTTTTTTTAAATTTATCATTGTGCGTTCATTGTTAAATCTAATCCTAGTAGCTATGAGCCACCTCAAAATCCTAATTGTCATCAACGGTTAAGGGGCGATTTTGATAAAAAAAATTCCAGGAGTAAATTATCTATAGTTTCCAAAACACCGGTTGTTTTGCCGATAAAACTTTTTAATCATTTGTCTACTTCACTCAAACAGACGCATAGCACTGGTGAATTTAAATACGCCGTAAAAACCAGTTTACTTCGTCATGCCTTTTATAGCTTAAATGACTTTTTTGACCGCGATAACATATTGCTGTAATGGTTTTATACATATAATATAAGTGTAATACACAATCTTTGCAAGATATCTTCACAAATTTATCAAAAATGATATCTCTTATAGCTTACAATAGTTTCGAATTTTTAGTAACAAAAATAGATTTATTTATCTATTTAATATACTTTACGGTTTAACCAATTTGCAAAACTTTTACATTCATTAAAGGCAAAGAGAGAGAAAGACTGCAGTATAACAGCTAGAAACCAGATCAAAATGTAACAATAAATATAAATAGAATTAAGCGGAAGCACTCAAGAGGAACCCATCAGAACGAAATGAGCGGAGGCTGCCGACAAACGGATCCAGCTTTAGACAGTTGCACGCTTTCGGCATTCTAGTAAGGGGTGAATAAACTCCAAAATTTGCGCGTTGGTAAGGTATGCGGAACATTGAGTTATCACAGCTTCTGTAATATGCGTTAAATTGTATGCTATGTAAAAGAGCTGGACAATAATACTAACCATTCAGAATTTTAAAGAGAGAAACTAAATCACAATGAAATATTCTGGTTTGAAGAGTATTCATATTGAAAGCCTTAGTGATAATACTGTAGTTGATCTGAAACCCATTATAGATATCGACATGCGCCTTTGATGCCAATGATCTTAAAAATACTATCTGAATGGCTTCGATGTTATTTATATGGCAGGCATAATATGGAGACCATATCACAGATGCATACACCAGTCTAGAGCGAACCAAACAGATATAAAGGAGTTTAAAGCAATGTGTATTAAGTTGGCCACTATTGCGTACAACAAACGCAAGTACTCGCATAGACCTGTTTACTAGTTCTCCAAAGTGGGTCACAAAACTTAGTTTAGAATGAAAGAAAAGACATTAATAATACATATTATTCTAAGAGATGGATTTACTCTTTGGCTAAAACAGTTGCCGCAACAGCCACACTGAACCATTCGATATTCGTAAGGAAAAAACATTCAACTATTATAAATTATACAAATTAAGTTTTATTATTCAAAATGTTTGCATAAACCTGCCGTTAGAACCGATATTGAACGTCAAAACAAACTTTGTTTTGTCAAAATGTTATATAAAGTGGAATTCTCACGTATCAATGTTTTTATGAAACTAGCTGTACCTACCAAATTCATGTCTTTCACTTTCTGGTCAGTAGTCAATTTATCAGATATATCTATTTGGCTTATGATTTTGCGTCTTTTTTGGCTATGATTACGTTTTTTTCTATTCCGTTCTTGTTTTGTTTTGTGCCTTATCAATCAATTTGTTATTTTGACAATTTTTTCAAGTCTTATGCATAGTTCAACGTTCTTTTTGCATCTGTTGTAGTTTAAACGTATGCTGGTGACCTGTGTTCTTTTTCTTAACCGGTTTAAGTTTTCTAATTCCTTTTTTTTATGTAGCAACTCATCAAAAAACTTTATCTAATTTGATTTTGACATTTTCTATATTTAAGTTGAAATCCACCAAAAAAAAGTTAAAAAATGTAGCAAACATGGTATCGATATTTGTATGCTCAAGGTAATTGTTGGAAAACAATTACCTTGAGCAAATTAATTTCATTGAATGATCTGTTTATAATTGATATTGGTTTTAATATTTTAATAAATAGATAATATATTAAATACAAATAAACGCATCAACTGGATTACTCATATCAAGATTACAATAAAATGTTTTAAATTGGTTTGTAAAATAAGTAATAAAAGTTGAATAGTATCAGTGTTTAAGGGCACATATTTTTTAATTAGATTAATTTAACGGTTCCTATCATTCCCGTAAGTATAGGTATTCAGTGACCTCGTGGAAAAAGCAGAAATTCAAGATTGGTTGCTAGAAAAAAATATTTTTTTGACGACTCCTAGATAAAATCACAGATGAAGTTGCCACGCATACAGAAATAAGTAAGATAAATATAAAATTTAAAGAAATAGCTGCGAGTACGGGATAGGTATTTTACGATTACCACCGTATCGAGAACTCCGATTTGGAGTTATATTCAACATGTCATAGAAAAGAAAACCGAAAAGGAAATCTAGTTTGCTGATAATCTCCAAGACAACGTGGCTGAACTTATTATTTTGGCGACAATTCTGAGAGTGACATTGACGTTTCCGATCTCGACCAGGAATAAAAAATTTCAATGATGCGCATAAAAATCTTGAGATAAAATTTGGACCCGAGCGACGAAATTTGTTTGGGGCCGGACCTGATCGTTTACAGACACCGGAACTGCAACGGCTGGCAAGAAGATTTCACATTGTAGTCTCATTGTGACTTGGAATAGTCATCATAAAATGTTTCGTTTTCACCTGTCTCCGGTTGCTTTATCGGTAAATGGTCTTCGTGTAGATCTCCGTGTACGAAAGCTATCAGCCACCAGATTAGGGAAAAAGCAAGCCAACATCCAAAAAAGCATAGGGCCAAAAATTGCAAAGTCCATCGCCATTGGGCGTCAAGTAGTGTCGTAAATATGTCTTGCAAGTAGCGCCACCTGCGGTTGGGCGAAAGCTTCTTGCGTATTACGTTGGTGTAACCATTCTTCATGATCGCCCTTTTGGAATGTCCGCGAGTTTTGGTCGGTGCCCATGTTTTTCTGAAAAACAAAAAAAGCGAACTGCTAATATAATTTATTCTTATAACTCATATTTTTTGGACATTCCAAGGAATAATATACATAGAGGCTTTAATATTTGACATAAAACTATTTGGCGCACATAAATAAAACTAAATGAATAATTTTTAATTTTTTTTTTTTTGAAAAGTGCATTAATTTTTAATAGCGCTATGGAACAGATGCCCACACGCAGAAAAAATATTTTAACAATTCCATCACACCATAAAGAACTTTTTAAGCGTTCCTTTTGTTACTGCGTAGCGGTTTACATCAATATATTTTGAGTAAATGATGACGCGTCATCTCTTGCAACTTTTAAATACAAATTAAAGCTGGAACTAGTCAGCAGTGAGGGGTTTTATTATAAAGGGTATACTTTTTTACGCCACATGTACAGGGTGAGCCAATAATAGAGTAAAGCTTGTTATCGATTTCAAAAGTTTTGATAAATTGCAAAATAAAAAAATTGTAAAGATTTTTGTGATCCACAAATACAGGGTGTCTCAAAAAAGCGCGACGAATAAAACACATATTAAATTTTTCAAATAAACTTCCACAGGCTACTGTAATACCTTTTACAAAACTTCTGGATTCCTCCTCCGTCGGTTTTTGCTGAGTGGAACTTGCTGACGTTTCGCCAATCATCCTGTTGGCTTCTTCAGAGCTTGACTGAAACCGGCTTTTATTTTACTCTGTACCTGCTTATATATTGTTTGAGGGGGGGCGGAGCTAAATGAGGAGCATAAACACCGTCTCTGATGACTGATGATTGGTGACAGGTCCATTCAAGAGCAGATTACATGTAAGAATTTTAGTTTTATCGAATAAAATTTTATGTCCGGTTTCGTGATTGTGTTCGGTAACAGCTGATGAGTTTATTTGTCTTAGTCGTATGGGTCTTTCGTGTTCTATGAGCCTAGTTGATATTTTTCGTCCGGTCTCTCTAATGTATACTTTGCCGCATATGCATGGAATGCTGTAAACTCCTGACATCTCAAATGCAATTTTGTCTTTGACGGAACGAAGATGTTGAGAGAATTTTGGATAAGTGGTAAATCTGGTTTTGACGTTATACTTCCTTAGAACTTTTGATATGTGGTCAGTGATGTTTTAAATATAAGGAAGGACCACAGTGGCAAGTTGGATTGCTTTCGGCCTCATTGCTATTGCAAGGTTGTGGTGAAATGTATTTTTTGATGGAACGCTTAATATCTTTAATGTGGAAATTATTAGAGAGAAGAGCAGAGGAAAGGTGTTTTAATTCTGAGTTCAGTGACTCGGGCTGAGATAATTTTACAGCTCTGTAAACATGAGTATGTTATGTTATGTATATTAGGGCGTATAGAGTTTAAATGTCTAAGAAAATCTACTAGAGATTCTTGACCTTGACGCCAAATAACAAAAGTATTCCTGATATTAACTTGTGTCCATAACCACCGTAGCGTTTCCTTTATCTGCTTTTAGGATTACGATGTCTGGATTAAATTTTAGAGATTTTAGGGTTTAGTAGGTTTTGATTTTTTAAGGATTTTTGCGGTTTCAAATCGAATTTCATTAGCTGTCTGAGATGGCAGTTTGTTTAGGATAGACTCGACATTTGAAATGATTTCCTGTTTTGGGATAATACGTGAGGCAAGGACGAAGTTGGACCCTTTTGAAAGAACTAATTTTTCCGTCGTTCCTTACATTCAAAACATCAGATTTACCACATGTCCAAAAATCTTTCAACATCTTCGGTCCGTCAAAGACAAAATTCAATTTGATATGCCAGGAGTTTACATCATTCCATGCATATGCGGCAAAGAATACATTGGAGAGACCGGACGAAAAATATCAACTAGGCTCAAAGAACACGAAAGAGCCTTACGACTAAGACAAATAAACTCATCAGTTGTTGCCGAACATAATCACGAAACCGGCCATCAAATTTTATTAGATAAAACTAAATTTCTTACTTGTAATCTGTTCTTGCATGTACCTATCATCAATATGGGAATCAGTCATCCGAGAGGTTGTTTATACCCCTCATTTAGCTCCCCCCCCACAAACAATATATAAGCATGTACAGAGTAAAATGAAAGACAGTTTCAGTCAAGCTCTGTAGAAGCCAACACGATGATTGGCGAAACGTCAGCAAGTTCGACTGAGCAAAAACCGACGGAGGAGGAATCCAGAAGTTTTGTAGAAAGTAAAACACATTTTTTAAAATGAAACGTCTTATTTTTAAATTTTGTTATTAATTCGTTTTGAAATTCTTCAATTTTTCTTATTAGTAATAATACATACCTAAACATTTTCCATTATATTAATTTTTCTATAAAAATACTAGTTTTCATACTCGCAAGAAATTACGATAGGGTCATTATTTTTGATATTAACGTTATTCGAAGATTAACGTCATCTTAAATTAATTAAAAATTAGATGCGACAGGGTGTTCTAAATAAACGAATATATTTGGACCATTTTAAATAGGAAAATCTCGATTTTTTCTAAATGGCACACAATATACCGTATTACTTTTTCCGAAAGATCTATAAAAAAACTACAACTTTAAGTATGTCACATAACCATTTTTAATACATAACGATTTATTTTAACATTTCCAGTATATAAATTTCTTTCAGTGTAAGACCACTGCTATAATATTAGTTGGCCATGGAAAAACTATTAGCCAACAAGGTTCTGTTAAGACTGAAAAATGAACAGCAGAAAGAAATTTGTTGGAATCGTAGATAAAGAAGCAGACAGTTATTAGCAATTTTTGTAAAAATAAAGGCTACATTTTAAATTCACAGCAAAAGTACAAAATATCACAGTACGTATTACTACAAATTAACTTATCTTATTTTTAATTATTATTATGATGCAATAAATGTTAAAGAATTTGTCTTGCTACATGTTTAGTCTTTTCCGTATATTTTTTTCGCTTAAATGGTGTTATTCTCCCTAGGGTCACACCTTAACATATTTCCACAAAAAGGAATTCAACTCTCGGATCCATTTCTGTGGGTAATAATAATAATAATTTGTGGAATCTTCTTAAAGAAGTTAAGGTAAATCATCCTGCAAATAGTTTAAAGATCTAGTCTCGGTATGTGGTCCAACAAGTTCAAAGTTTTTTTATCCTTCACCACACATTAAGTGACCAATGGTTTTGGTTTTTCACTTCCCGTAACCCGAATATTTTCTGATGAATAATAATTTTTAAGTTTAAGTTTAACTTTACCTTTAACTTTTTTTCAAAATCGCGGTCTAGAAGTTCTTGGTGGAGTTCCATATGGAAGGGAAGATAATTGTGTTTTCTAAGGGTATATTGGGATGTATCACATAAGCTAGTTACTTGACGGATACTAACCTGAGGATTAGCTTTAACTTGAAGTAAAATGTTCAATTCTTTCTATTTGTAAGTAACATTTAGGTTTGTCACTTTTCGATGTTCATATTCAAATTCTGTAATTACTTTAGAATTTACATTTAAGATTGTCACAAGATACGTTTAATACATTTCCCTCTATATTCCTTTATATCCGATGCTAGGTTTGATGTAAGAACAGTCAGCATTTCTGAACTAAACTAAAATAAAATGAGTATTTACTTAAATATTATTATTATGTTTGCTGTCTGGTGCGTGCATAACATAGCATTGAAAACATTAACAAAATTCGGATCAATAACTGTAAAGCAGAACATTACTTTGTAGTTAGTCTACTTTATTGTTTGGTGTTGTGAATGTTGCTTTTTTCCTCTAGATACATATATTATACATATTATATTTTATTTTCAATTTTTATAGAAATAAAAAACCTTGATTGCCAAAAAAGATTAAAAATAGAGTGGATAACGTTATTAGTATTCCCATCAAACTTCCAGACATATTTAAGCTGAATATTTACTTAATATATTTTACAATCATAGGTAGAAATAATTATAAATATATCGGTAAGACCTTTAATATACCATAAAAGCAATAATTGACTTATCTAAAGATATTTCCTATGTAAGATTGCTATCTTTGCATTTAATATCGTGCTGGCTTGTGAATTTTGGTTATATCCATCCACAAAAAAAATGCTGCAGCAATTACCCAAACCAACATTTGAACAAATTTTTGCAATATTCTGTGCACCGTAGATGTCAGATTCGCTTATTGTAAATATCCTCATAACTTCAAGTTGAATACATTTTGTTTTAACCTTAAATTATTTTATAATTCCTAATAAATGTTACATCATTCTTCCGTCGAATGACAACAAAATAGAAAAAAAGATAGAATATACCCGTATTAAGAAATATCTATAAGTTGTTATAAGTATAACTAACACACTTATCTCTACGGTAAATTGTTACGTGGTTAAAATAATAATAATATAATAGGTTCATTATAAACAACATTACAGTATTAACATATTTAGGATAACAAGAATATGTAGCAAAAGGTTTTTTAGTAGTGTACAGTAGTGGCCCCGGTATACTACCTTGAGGAACCCCCAATTTAATGTAAACGCAATTTTTTTTTGTATGGAACATGAAAGGACATAATTCCCATTTCAAATGACCTACTAAGGACTAGCCGCACAATAATAGAAATTTTATATTGGCTACAATAATATTTGCTACCAAATCATACCTTCTAAAATCTCTGGCCTGATCAGCCATCCACTGGGTAAACGCCATTTTGCACAAAAACTTTCGTCTGAGAGAAGCAACATTTTATTTTGTTTACTCTTACAGGAAGTTGACTGATGTGAAACATGTTTACAAGATTATCTTGCAAACAATTAAAAAATCTATAGCTGCAAACATTGAAAATATGAAAAATATTTGTTGTGCCGATATAATAAAAGAAAACAGGTTTTACTTTTTTGAAAATTATTTTAGTGTCTCATATAACTGCTATATTTTAAATACTTATCTTACACATCTTACAAAACATTGAAATATATATCTAGATTGGGCAATATTTTAGATAGGTAATGAACATAGATAATCCACTTCTAATTGGCCTATTTTGATGTCAACAGTAAAATGCCAATTCACCAACGACATTTCTATGAAAAGAAGCTGTAATAATTCTGTATGATTGGAGGAAACAATGGCACAAAATAAACTAAAAAGTTCAGCAAAGATGGTTGACCAGGACACAAAGTATGCAATTCGAAGGACTGTTCATTAATTTTTTCTATTTTTAAAAGAAAATACCTAATCTAGACAGAATGTTGATAAAGCTTGAACAAGGAGACAGTATTCCTTTAATAAGTCGAAAAATGTAAATTTTGCTGTGGAAAAACATAAACGTAAAGTCCTTTTACTTGAGAGGGATGATATGGTTTGTTGGTGAAATGTGATTTGTGAAAAGTATAAAGCAGTATCATGATGGGAAGTGGATTCTTGGTGGCACTGAAGGTTCCATCAAAGGTTTGTCAACGGGTATTACAGTACTAGATAATGATTGTGGTTCTTGGAAGCGAATATTGATTCATACCGACCTTTGAAGGTCTATAGCGAATGGAAGTTAATCACAAGGATTTTGAAGGTTACTTTGTGACCAATGACAAAAATATATTTCTACTGATTCAGTGGTGTTTATGGATAATGTCATAGACGAAATATAGAGAAAACATCAAGTTGGCTTTGAAGAAAACAAGATATTTTTTTCGACTGATTTAAAGACAACATGATAAATAGGAATTATTACATTTAATGAATTTATACAAATCAACAACATTCAATACCGATACCTATTGGATGAGAACAAGAAGATATTTCTTACAGGATGGCCTTGTTATAAGCCGTTATTTTCTCAGAATCTTAGTTAAAAATATGAAAATGTATCGAAAAAAAAAATGTTTTTATTAATTAGCAAAATATTTTACTATTATATATTCAAGGTGTTGGTATTTTAGTGTACCAGTAGCAACTTTCTTATTTTAAATAGAACACCCAGTATATTAAACAATTTTTTTCGGAAAGTTCTAAACCATACTTACCGCTTCTGACATATTTTGAATTTTATGGCAAGGGGATTGATCTTATTGGTATTTTAAAGATAAATAAGTACAGGGTGATCAAAAACTGACCTTTAAAATTCAAATCGTAAAAAGTCATTTTTTTAAACGGAAGTACACCATTCCTTTAATTTTATCGTAAAACCTTTTTTCAGTGGAAAATAGCTCTGACGACGAGACGTGGTGAAGAAATATCATTGGAACACTACAGAAACTTCCTTATTTTGGCATAAAAATGAATGTTTGCTTATTTTATAAAAAATAAATCTCAAGTGTACAGAATATTTCTCAAAAAAATACTAATAGAAAATAAAACAAATTAAAATAAATTATTTGCTACATTCAGAATTAAAACATGAAAATATTTTTTGTGATAAATTTTTAAAAACAGTCCTAAAATCTTTTCTTTCTTCTGTTCGTCATTTAAAAAAGTGTTTCTCGAAGGTTTTTGTTCGTCTGGACATCAAATTTGTTCTATAATTAGCCATTAAACAACATTTGAAAGCTATTATATCAATAACTTAATTACCAGATACAATTTACAAGATTTATAAAAAAATTTCAAACGACGGTAAATGTGTAAAAGTGCTTTTTCTTTAGTACTCGATTGTGTTTCTTTTTCTGCCATGTTTCATGTCTGCCCACTCTGTATATTTGTATTTATAAAATATCAACACATATCACTAAAGTATATAATATTATAACCTGTTGGGAAATCAACTTCAAATATCAAACAAACGCTTTCAGTTGGAGATATAGATATCGGTAGATATATTTTGACCTGCCAATGTCACTTTTGACATAAAATTCAAAATATGTTGAAAACGGTAAGATTTGGATAAGAAAGTTGTTACTTATTTACAAAAATACAAAGACCCTGTACATGTAACAATATAATATTTTAAAACTATAAATGTATGCGAACAACTATTATCAATGAGTTTTTTAAAAATATTTTAACAGAGCAAAGATATAATAAGGGGGTCACCCCGTACATACGCAGATATAATTTTTATTGATTTCCCTCAAATTTGAAGCATGTTATTTTTTTTATTCTTAATTTATAGCGAAAAACTATCAGTCAATCTTGATGTCTTTGTCAGACACAATATCAGATCTTTATAATTTTAGATCCGATGATAAGAAAATTAATATTGTTCTGACGCATTCCTGGTTATATTTTTGCATTCCCGAACTATGCAACATTTATATGTTTTTTTCGTATTCGTATTAAATAAAAGAACTACCAGACATATAAATTCCGGTGGTATGACGTTGCCGTTGCACCATATGACGTGACCTGACTAGGTCCCTCTGTCGCGCAATATATATTCGTTTGTCTTTTTAAGACCCAAAACGTGAAAATTAGATTATAATTGTATATCGGTTATCCTTTACTTTTATTTTCAATTTATAAATTTCTTCTACTAAAGATAAACGTACATTTCCCGCAGCCGAGAGTCTGTTATAATTCCATTTGGTTGTTAACGTCACTTTGCTGACGTATGACGAAATCTACAGTGAATCTACTTGAACCTTGAACGTTTGTCTGTGCTCGTTTGGCCGTGGCCCTGCGAATGTCAGTAACGTCACAGCGTTCTGATGTTTTGATCCGCAAAAATGTTTGACCAACTTCGCGTTTTAAATTGAATTGAGTAACAAGAAATTTTATTAATTTGATGAAAAACTAATTGCTAAAAAAGCGTCGAAGAAAATGAACGGATTTTCGGAAGGTGAGATAATTTTTTTCATTGTGTAAGCGCTGCTATTATCATTTTATATAATTTGCCCCATATTTGCAGAGCTTAATCAAAACAACGATAAAGAATATGAAGAAGTGCGTATTCCAGTGCCATGGGGTCATATTGCAGGTGAGTAAATTTTATTTTCCTCCATTTGGCAATTTTGATAACTTATATAATTTTCTTAACTTTCTTGTAGCTTACTAATTGTGCGTTTCACTTTAATGATCTATTGAACTTAAATTGCGTTGTCGTGTGTGATTACAAGTGAATGAGAGATGAAATTCATGTGTGTTTAGTTAGACAAAAATAAAATGAACTTCATAGGACGTTTTTTTTTTTAATTATGAATTAAATGACAAATACTTTTATGTTATGGGTAGGTTTTTTTATTTTTATAGTAATAAAAGCAAAATAAAGATGAATTCAAAAAAGGATGATGGTGTCAAAAAACAAAAGTTTGTAACCACTGTGATTTTGACTTGTTAATTTCCATTTTCAAGTACTAAACACAATATTAGATATTATTTTCCAATGTATTAGAGTTCAAATATTTGTTTTCACAGGGAACAATGATTAGAACACTTTTTTTAGGAAAATGGTGGGGTTCGAGAACTGTTCAGCCTATTATAGCACTTCACGGCTGGCAGGATAATTGTGGCACCTTTGACAAGTTGGCTCCACTGCTTAAGGAGAAAGGTCATTCGTTACTTTGTCTGGATCTTCCAGGCCACGGGTTTTCATCCCATCTACCTCCGGGACACAATTATTACCTTTGGTGGGATGGAATTCATTACCTGAGAAGGATAGTGAAGGATTTTAAATGGAAAAATATTGAAGTCATCGGACACTCCTTAGGTGGTGGTATAGCATTTTTATATGCGGCAACATATCCAGATGAAATTAAGAGGTACATCTCCATTGATATTGCAAGCCCATCGGTCAGAGATGTTAAAAAATCCTGTGATATGCTTGGGAGTGCTGTAGATAAATTTTTAAGCTATGAATCAATGACCCTAGATCAAATGCCTTGTTATGGATATGACGAAATGGTGGATGTATGTTACAGTGCGTACAAGGGTACTGTATCTCGTGAAGGCTGTGAAATTTTGTTAAAACGTGGCATGAAACCGGCTACTGACAGAGATGGTTATTGGTTCACCCGCGATCCGAGATTAAAAATGGCGCTGTTGGGATTTCTGAGCTTGGAACAGGTTCTCGAGATGAGTAGGCGGATCAAGTGTGAAGTGCTGAACATCAGAGCAAAATCAGGTCTAAAATTTGATGTACCGGAGCATTACGATCTGATACTAAATGAAATTGACAGGGGCGCTAAGAAACTAGAAACGCATTTAGTGGAGGGTACTCATCACCTGCATTTAAATGACCCAGAACCCATTGTTGATATTATCCATAATTTTTTGCTTTAGGCTTTGTGTTATAAATGAATTATTTTTATTTATTTGAATTGATTGTTAATATCAAGCACTTGTGATAACATGTATGATTCAATTGTTTTATATGTTTTGTGTAAGTTATAAGTTAATTACAAATATTCAGCAAAGCTAAAACTGAAAATTTTAGAATTGAATAAAATTATGTAAGCTACAAAATTAATATCCAAAAATGAATAATCCTTAAAATTTCTGTTTCTTTAAATGAAATAAAGAGCTCTGGAGATATCCACACGGTAAGGATAGGTTTAAAATAAAAGGATGCTAAGCGAGAATCAAGTTTTTATTTACTCCGGCCACTTACACGAAAACTGGTAGATGACACCTCCAGGTAGTTATAGGTAAAGACTTGATGCTAGCATACTCCTTGCTTACTTTTTCCCACTGCAGTTCGCTTGGGCTAAAGATTGCCTTGGATCGCAAATTCCCTTTTACCGTTTCCAGTTCCTTAAAAAAAATAAATGTAACTAGGACATCTCTAAATAAGAGTCCTACCACGTACTAATAACTAACCAAATAATAAGTTGAAAATTGCTCTAAACCATTGGTGTACCACTTTTTCTTATTGTTTAGAATAATTAAAACGAGTTTATTTATAAAATACCGGAATTGATGAGAATTAGAATACAAAAAAATTACCACGAATCGATATTGAAAGTCATCACCCTTCAGTATCGGCACACCCTGAATAAGGGATCATTGGAGGGTAAGTAAAACAATCCAAACCACACTACAAGCGCAAAATTAAATTTAGGGAGATATTTAAAAATCACGCATTCTCAGAGGAAAGCTAGAGAAAAAGAGAAATAAAAAAATGCTCTATGATTTAATTTAACAATGGTTTTTTCCAAGTCTTGACGGGTATTTAATTTGTTGAAATGACGCGAGATGTGGGAGACAAGCGACACCACCGTTAACGGCTTATAGTTGAATTAACAACTCGATGTATGGCTGGTTACCTATAAAAATTATATCAGGGGCAACAATTGAAGTTTACCATATATTTTAGTTTGTAGAATATGGTGAAAACAAGCACCAATTTCTATTTCCATCGCCGCAATTTATTAACATATGTAGTGTTTGATTTTAAATATTCCTTCTGTCCTTATTGATTTCGAAATAAACTTTGCGTCGGGAGAAATACTATTATTGGCAACAATCTTACCTCACTGTTTTGCACCCCCAAAAGGAATGCAATAAGTGGTTATAATTTTAGTGTACTCACTTTCATAAGTTCTCTGTTTCGCTGTTGTGCCTGCTGTAGGCTTAAAGTTAGCTGTACATTGCCGTTTTCAAAAGACGGATTGCCGCTACTTTCATAAGGAAATTTCCTAACAAAAAAATTCTTTAAACTTAACATTACGCGGATACCTCGAACTATACCTTGAACACAAAATCGAGTCAATTTTCTCTTCTTGGGATTTGTATTTTAAAAATATCTCCTGAACTTCTGGAAGAACCATCATTTTTAGTTATCAAGCTATCGTTGCGGTGGCCATGGAAACTGCGTAGTGCCGTCCGCCATCTATGGTCGGCGTCATGGAACTAAACATACTGTCCACGCAACTAACAGGAGAATTCGGGACAGAGGATTTTAACTGTGTGCGGCCTAGATGTCACCGTGTGGTTCAACTATCTCTAAAATACAAACAAGGTGTTTTATAAAACGTGTACCAAATGCCTGTATTTCGAGATGCGTGGTGTTAAATATTTATAAAAAGTTTTTTTTTACTATATGTTCAAAATTTCATTGAAATTTGGCAATATAATTACAATTTATTATTAGCCTTGTAAGAATTTGTTTACAAGTGAAAATGGGGAAACGAAGTGTGGCGGACAGAAGAAATCAAAAACGAAATAAGAATAACACAAACTGAAGGAGAGTGCAGACATTTGCTAGTAAAGTTAATAAGAAATATAAGACACAGATACTACTACGAAGTGACAGATAAAGTTAAAGACAACTGCAGTGGAATGTGGAAAACTTTCTAAACATTAATAGGCATTAAACAAACCGAAATTTAAAGTAACGAATTTAAATTTAATAATAGGATGATTCAAGGAAAAAAAATTCACATATTAAAAAATACAACGAGAATAAATAAACAGATCAGAACTGACAGGAAAATGAAAGACTTCAGATCACAATGCCCATGCTAAGAAATAGCGCAAAAAAGTGACGAACAAACAAAGTAATATAGGTGGTATTAAAGTCTATAGTTTGAAATAGCCATTGAAAGGTTGAAACCATAGGTGACAAAGTGCTCAACCTAGTCAACAACACACACAGTATGGACTTTTCCCCAAACAATGGAAAAAGAGCATCGTAATGCCTATTGAAAATAAAACTTTAACAGTAAACTAGAATTTACATTTACACTATTATAAGTGCGCACCAATGACCAAATTTTAGTACGTGGAAGATAATCACATTCTTAGGGAATATCAAGATGGGAAAGTGATCGGTGCAGTTTTTCTAGACTTTAAGAGCGTCTTTGAAACCAAAAATAAACAGAGTTGCCCTTGTGGATATGAAATGGCTGATAAAATTTAAAAAAAAGTAAAAAATTCTAAAATCTATTTATGTAATCGAAATAATGATATTTTATTTAGAGACCAAACAGCATACATTAGATCACATAAATGTTGCAATTACTGAATTACTGACGTGGCGAATTTCATTTCTATCTTTAAAAATAAAGAAGAGGCGGCCTTCCACTTGACAAGGCATACATACATACATTCACATATATAGCTAAATATAAAGCGCAATCTAGAGAAAAACAAAAAAAAAGCTATATTAACAAAGAAAGAAGAATATTTGTGAAATTCAGATAGGTCTTTAAGTAATATTAATGTAATCAGGTTCAACACTGTCAACAAGGACAGATACTGCGTTTTGAAACTTGCTATGGAGATACTAATGTTAGCAGTCTTAGGTATATAGCACAGTACTTTATTATAGGACAAAGATATTTTTCATATAATAACTATGAAAACCGTTCATGTCATCCATATGCACATCAGAATGAATTTCAATGACAATTCATGAGAGCCGACTGCACTTGTCTTTAACTCTCACAAATATGGGCCTACCCAGCCCCTCCTCCCAGTACGGATGCTATGCATCGACTCGGTGGAAAAATCGTCATGGTGAACCAAATAATGCCGTCGTCATCATGGAAAAGTGTCGCACTGATGGGCGTGCGAGTATTCCGACGGGAGTTTGTGCATAGCGGCGGACTAGGGTCGGGAATGTTGTGCATGTTCCCAGCCGCGCTGTGTATCGCTACACAGGCGACCAGTCGGGATGCAGCACCCGTTCCAGAAGAAGGAAGTCGGGGTCTCCCGGGGTCCTTCGCTGCGCTACCTTCTCTCCCTCACCAGCGTCGTGCGGTTGAACCTCGTCCAGTTCGTATGGCTGCCCTGCAGGACGCGAGTAGTCACGCCTGAGAGCAGACCCGAACTAAAGCCTAGATCTTTTAAGGATTTGAGCGAATCTCGACACCACACTCCCTTCCATGAAATGGTCGCAGAGGAGGTGGGGATTTTTCCCTCCGGGAAGTGTAGATATTCGGACACGCCCGTGATGAGTTCGCTATTGCCAGCATATTTCGCAACCTTTGCTTGATGTGCTCGCCGCAGTTCGACGCTCCCAGAGACCACCTGGGCGTCTACTATGACGGCGGAGCCAGCCCTGCTAGGGATGATGTCTGGCTTCCGGTTCCCAATGGGAGTCGAAAACATCCGCTCCCGCTCGACGTGCCAGCCGCTGCTACGGAGCCCACCCGCCAAGACACGGCAAACCGCATCATGACGAAGGACCCTTCCGCCGTGCGTTAGAAAGCATTGCTGTACCACATGGGCAGCCGTTTCCGGTACCCCGCAACCATAGTGTAGCATAGCACTTCCTGGCGAGCCCTCCGCTCCTCCCTACTGACCCGCATGCGGGACGGTAGTGAGTTGCTTCTGAGCTGATGATACTGCACGTAATCTCTGCCTGGAGTACCAACAGCCGGTCTTACCCATTTGCTGGACTCCAGATAGTACGCGGCCTCGCGGAGCTCGCTCCCATCACAGGAGTCGTAAACTCTCCTGGCCCACAAGTGCCGTTGTTCGGATCCCTTCGGCCGCTCGCTCAGCCCTTGTTTGCGCAGCAAACCTTGCGCCCACTCCAGCTTCCGAAGAATCCGGGGGGCGGAGGCCGCCGCGCGGGCTGCGGGAAAGGACGATTGCTACCGGCCCATCGTCCTTATAATCATCGAGGGAATCAGGAAATCCCCGTGGACAGGGCGGGGACACCTAAGCCACCGTCACGGACAGAGGCGTTGAAGTAGCCCGTCGGTGTATCCTTGGGCAACCGCAACTAACCACTCACCCGCAGGTATCCTCGCTGAAAGTACTGGCAGAAACCTCCTCCTTTGTTTGGTGTCCCTTCGACTGGACTTAAATGGAAATAAATCTGGAATTCCTTCGAGTAAATTGCAACCTGACACAGTGTTATTTCTACACTAAAAGAAACCGGCAGTATCAGCGTTCAATTTACCACCAGCAAAGGAGAGAAAGAGAGGCCCCCAATCTAGATACCGAAAAAAAATAGCACGTGTTGCAGCATGAAAGCGATACAACACACAAGATACGTATCACGATTGGTAGGCAAGCAAAAATATATCGTGCACAATAAAGGGAGAAAGAGGCCCAAAGCCTCGACATTAGAAAGATACCGCGTGTTGCAGCAGGAAGGCAATACAACACACACAAGATATGTATCGCGATTGGTGGGTAAACAACATAAAATATATCGTGCACCAGAAACTTACTCAATATATAAATTCAAAATTTATACTTTTAACTGTCGATGGCTAACACATTTGAAAATAAAAAGAGGTTATCATTTCACAAATAACCCAAAAATGACAATCAAAGAAAATGTGCCTTATGGCATAACCCGTAAAATAAAAGAAATTATTTGTTGCAAACTGAAAAATTAAACGTTTAAAGGAATTTTAACCTTACCAAACAAAATTAACAATATAAAATCAAATACATCACCATTATAAAATACCAAGACCACGATGTGCCCTCTTCTAATCGCCAAAAATCTCTCCCCTGATCTTAATTCGAACCCGTTTCAAAAGAAAAAGAGATTTTCAGTTCGACCTCAAATCCGTTTTATATCCGTAACGTCCTAAAAGGTTAGTTCCGAGAGAACAATGCATCTCAGAATAGAGGTTGACCTACTTACTGTTGTGCCGGGAAGTGATTGTGTACGTCACTCGCAAACACGTCACAAGCGGTACGGAAACCGATAAATCTGATGTTTAATTAAAATTATATAAATAAATTTCGTTACAGAGTTGGAAAACAACGTTGTAGCCATTCCGTCAGCAGGTGCAGAATCGGTGTTCTCTCCAAGGCCCTTCGGGCCGCCGTGAGTAGAAGATTACAGGAATAGGTGTCCGTATCGAACAGCCCATCCGCAAGCTCCCTCACTTTAGCCCTCAGTGGATCCTCCGCTCTGCCCGCAGCTTCACGATCACTCATCGCCAGACTATTGGGGGTGGTCGGGGCGGATCCATGGGAGAACGAGGCACTACTACAGTCAGCAACTGACTGCGGGCGTTGACCTTGGCCGTCAGAACTCAAGTTCGATGTTGAGCGTAATGTTGGGATCGGCTGCTTCGCACGAAGCTCCGCAAGCCTTTCACCAACCATGGCTTTGTAGTCTTGACGCCGCCGAACGCCTTTAATGGCTTCCTGCGAACGCCCTGACATTTTGTCGAGTAGGTAGAGGTTCAAGAAGGGTTCCCCCTTCTGTATTGCCTCCTCCTCCAAGACCACCATGATCTCGAGTTCCTCGCGCTGCCAGCGTACTTTGACGCTGGGCGCTTTGAGCCACTCGTTAAACTCGTCCTCATGTGCCCGCCTCCGATGCACTCCCAGTCCGGTTTTGGTGGTAAAGGATCGACCGCATAGTGGACAGAGAAATTCATCTGCCCGCGTCGGTCCGGCTATGCCGTTGGGATCGGCATAGGTCGTCGTACACAGGACTACAGCGCGGCCATGTTCGACCGCGTTACTAGACCCACTTGGTCTTGCGGTGTCAGGCCTCAGCTGCGAACGTCCACTAGCAACAGTGCACCCACTTCGATCTTGTCAGAGGGCCACCCACCCGCCGCTGGGTCGGGTTCGTAGATCCGCTTGCGGGTTCCTCCGTTCGACCAGTCGTAGCAATAGGGGAGGACAGCGCCCCCGCCCCCCCAGGAAAGTCCATCCGTGGCTTTATCATGAGGTTTGGTGCCTGCACAAGTTTTGGACGGACGAGGCTGGCCTGGCAAGCCCCCCCCCCCCCACCGTTCATTGCCCATAAGCGTACACCGTCCAGACGCCGTTCTCCCATTGGGGGGTTGTTCCGCGCATAGTTCCGCCTACCGATCGGTAGGTTTCCATTTCAGAACGGCCATGGTGTTGGTTGGCGAGGCCAGGACTAGTGCTTCAATATACGGATGTGCCACCTGACCGCACTGACGAGTTATACTCACACCTTCAAGAGGGACCAGAACCGAGTCCGCTGAACAAGGCCTGGTTGACCTCCTCAGATGCTTTCAAGCGTAGCTAAATCAGCCTCTCACACTAACCCCTACCCTGGTGGCTATCCTTGGGACTTGAACGCCTAGCGGAAGCAGCGGGTGGCTAGACCACACTCGAGCCTTACGCCCGCCGCCTGCATAGCCAGAGCCCCACTTCGTCATCAGTGATCAAGACCGGTGTCCAGCAGTTACCACGAGGAGGGGGGGGTTGGCACTTGCATGGGGGAGAAGGAGTCTCGGATACTAGCCAGAAACTGACACCTCAAGCGACTCCAACAATGTCATAGCAGAACTTACAAGAGAGGGGGAGTCCAAGTCTCGGATACTAGTACAGAACGGCCCCACACCTCAAACGACTTGGACTGCGGAAGGTGCTTGATCAGAGCTTCGCGCGCCCCCAAACAAGCGGTCGCTTAACAAGCAGCTACACTTTGCGAGCAACTACTTCTCCTCAGCCAAAAAGAGAGTCATAGTTACTCCCGCCAACCTCCTTAAAACACAGACCGCAATTGCTGTTGAATGGCAGACCATAAACGGAGGAACTACAGTAATCATTAATTTTATCAGCATTTTTCGAAGATTCGGGTGTGTAGTGCTTTGTCTTATTCCTGGGTTTCTGGCTGAGTTGGTTCCGCAACTGCTTGAAACAATCTTTACTTTTAGTTGTTTTATATTTTCTAAATAGTTTATTTCTTTCTACTATAAGAATCTTGATCACTTCCGTTATCCACGGCTTGTACCTGTTTTTAGACACTTTTTTTTAGTTGGAGCTTGAACATCGAGTAACATGCATAAAATATTCCTTCAAGAATCATTAACATTTTAAATATCGAACATATTTCTACATTGATGTCATTAGAACTTGCATATAAGAAAAAACATATCATAGTCAGATACATCCGGCAGCGTGAGTCACAATCAAGAAAGTGATAGTCTTCAGAAACCCTGATACAGTCCAGTAACGAAATGCTATTTGCAGATACTCTGGTAGGAAAGTTAACGATTTGTTTTAAACCAACAGTGCTTAAAAGATTCATTCAAGTAAAACGAGTTGAATCCGGAAAAATCAATCAGACTTATATTGAGTTGGAAGCCCATACAAATGTTCTTTGAGCGTTTTACTTTTACATACATCTATAAAGCTGCTACAGTTTCAATGTGCTCGATATACGAACACTTAAGATCGTCCCTTATATAAAATTCGACTCCTCCATGCCTTATTTCTTCCTCCTCTGTCTCCTCTAGTAAACACAGAATATTCATCAACAACAATATCCGCCATGAATAGTGGAGTTAAGTCATATTTCACTCAAACAGAGAATATCGAATTTATCCGACAATAATATTAATTTAAGTGTGCACATGAAGATTTTTCATTTAGGTGTCCAATTTTCAGATTCATTCTAATTCTTTAACGGAAGTATTTTATATTTGACCATGTAAACATTTGTTACTTACACTATAATCAATGTTTGCAAGCTTGAAACTGATTAACAATTTGATTTCATTTGCTCTTTTGTAAATTATTATAAAAAAAAACTATCAGAGAGAAAATGTGGATTAAATTGAAATCTCCAAGTTGCACACCAACATTTTGTAAATCAACCTCCATAACAACATTTAAGGGACATAAAGGACCACTATTATCGCTTTGTCCTTGGAAATATTGTGACAAGGATGCGATGCGTTGTTTGCAAATGTTGTAGATTTTTCACTACAAACTGATTTTAAAAAAATCAATTTTCGACCGCAAACTCGGCGAGTATAAGTTTTGAAGGTAAAAATAGCACAAAATTCAACTAAATCAAGAACTCGTAATACAAGAAATCGATTTGGCAACTTGGCGTTTGTTAAAGCAGTTCCACCAACTGAATCTCGAGCGGGAAATTTAAATTGCAGTTAAGTCAGTCCTGGGCCGAATATTTCTGTGATTGGCGATATTGGTTTTCGGAAATCGCGGCATCGATGGCGTGAGGTGACTAAGAGTTTATTTGGTATGAGCTGTATAGTGAAAATTATTTTTTTTAAATAAAAACTATGCAATAAACTTTGGGGCAACGTCCGATGTTAAGATATACAATGAAGTTATGGATAGGGTCTTTAGATGTCTTTAAAATAGATAACAATTTGACTTTCTGCCAAAAATTACGAGGGTGCAACAGACAAAATTGCCAAAGAATTAAACATTTTACCACGTGTTTCAAATAGTTTATTATATTTAATTAATGAAACAGACAATTACAAAAAGAAGAAAAGAAGGTACTAATTATCATATTAGGATGTATAATGTTTTATTCTACTTAAGTTTTGAGCGTCAACCAAGGTACATGTACACGTACATGTAGACCACATAACATCATGATATTAATTTATAAAATATTAAATAAATTATTGCCCTAAAATATGAAACAAACGCATTCAAAAATTAGGTATTGGATTCAAGAAAAATGCTCGCACACGTCCGGGGTAGGTCAAAAAGTAAATGTTGACATCAACTTCCTATCGCATGCATTTTCAATATCAGAAGAAATATGGGGATTCAATTAGGCTCTAGTGACTCTATAGAAGTTACTGTTTCCTGACGACGAGGAGGTTATGGTCACGGATATTAAGGAAGCAGTTTATATGACAAGAGGAATGTCAAGCCTGGGGATTAGAAATTAATATAAGAAAAACAGAATACCTCGCTGTGGAAGCTGGGACATTATGTTAAATATCCAAATTATCGTTAAACTTGTGTATTTCTGAATTGAAATGAATGGCAT